ATTCTATTTAAAATTATCTTTTAAAAAGTTTACTTATTGAAGAAAGCAAACTTACTGAAGGGATCTAGAAACTTTTGCATTTTTCCATTTATCAGGAAAGTATGCTAAATGGAAACATCTGTTAAATAATTTTACCAGGAAAGACAAGGTACTCTCTGAGAGTTTTTTGATGAGGATATAGAAAATTCCATCATCACCTGGAGCTTTCATATTTTGAAACTTTTTAGTTATAGACCTTACTTCGTCCAAATCAGTCCCCCAGGAATCATCAAAAATATTTTCCCGAGAGATAATATTCAGATAATCCCGAGCAACCTGATTCTCAATAGGACTAGTAAGACCCAAACTGAAATTATGGGAACTTTCGAATTGCTTAGCAAGTTTCTGAGCTTTTTCCAAATTTGTGATCAAAATTTTACTAATTTCTTAACGCTGGAATAGGCTGCTTTTGAGGTTTTTTTTATCAAAATTTTTGTGAGTTTCCAAAAGGGTTTGGAACTCGGGTCTAATTTAGAAACATTATTTTCAAAAGTTTTGTTCATCACGGCAGAGAATCGCCTTTTAATTTGTTTTTGCCAATCCCGCCAGATAACTTTCATGGCAGGATCGCGTGTTCTTTGATATTGTCTCCTACGAATATTTTTAAGACGGATCAAGGAAGATCGTCGTCTATTATAATTGAATCGAATTCAAGCTCGCATTTTGGTACTGAGGAAGCTCTTGCTTCAACTATAGAAGTAGTCAGAGATTCACAAACAGACCATCTCCGGAGACCCCCATTCCCACTCCGCTCCTGGAGAGAGAGCCGTCGGTGTACCTAACTTCATAACCTTGGTAGTGTGCTCGGGAGTTTCGACAACTGTCCGGCGTAAAGCCAGCAAGTAGTCTCCTGCCCTGAAGCGGTCCTTGATTCGGCTGTCAATTTTGTTCTTGTGCGATAGCCAACTTTTGTCTCCGTGCCAGTGGACCCTGGCCACTGGAGGGAGATCTACGTCGGCGGCCGTGCGGAGGAGTCGGTTCGCCTCGTCGAGGAGAACGATCCTGTTGTTTCCCGACGTTTTAGCGAGAAAGGCAGCGGCTTTGGTAGCAGTAGCTGCGGTGAAAACGAGCCGAAAAGGTAGGATACCGGCTTCAACGCATGGAGCGTCGGCCGGGGTAGAGGGCAGGAGACCGGAGACTGTTCGAACTTAGCCGTTGTACACCGGTTCCAGAATCTGGACGGCTTTCTCGGCGGCAAAGCATGTAATCTCTACACCGTACAGTAGGCGACTGTCGATGATGGCTCGAGCTACGTGGAAGCGGATTTCGCGATTGTTGGATCGGTGGGGGGCGGGAGATGGTCTTTATCAGGTTGGACCGACTGCGACAGTCCTTCTTTACTTGTTGGAAGTGCGACTCAAAGGATAAGATCGGTATTGCTTGTTGTTTAATCATCATGGGCTGTCCGTTGTTGCGATGCCTGGTGGTACATATATGGCAGCGCACGCTCTTGCCGGGGTAGAGTGAATATATTCTTAAGATTGTCGCGGTTCATGTAACACTAATATCAATAAATGATGCAATGATCCCAACACTGTCACGTTCTGTCATGACAAAAAAAATCGATGAGATTTGGATGAAATATGAAAGGAACTGCGAGGAGAATTCCAAGGGAATTTAATTCCCAAGAAAATGCTGATGAATTCTGGTGTGTCTATATAGTGAAACTACTCTACTAGTACACTGCCACTCATGGCAAGTCCGTCCCATAGCAAAAAACGAATTTTATTTTTGCTTCGTAACATTGCTTCTTATGCGATGGGACAATCTGTTTGGCTGTTTTCCAATTAGCTTTCATTTACAATACAAAACTCAGAAGCTGCAATGCAAACTGAAGAAATTTGCATATTGTTGACAAAATAAGCGTATCTGTTAAGTGTGCGTGGTAAGCGTGATTACCTCTCACCCCAGCAGGCCTGGGTTCAATCCCAGTCGGCGTCGCCGGGATTTTCTGAGGCATAACATCTCTGATCACGCTTTCCTTCGAAAGGGAAGTAAAGCCGTTGGACCCCGGTTAAGGTTCTACAAAGGGTCATTATTTTGTTTACTTCTTCTTTTTGAAATATTCTTCGATCATCATTTTCTAAATGTATTGGTAAAATTCATTGGAAGTGCATGTCCCCGCGCCAAAACTGCCCATTTTTCATAAATATCAACTGGTATGGTGAGGAAAACTTAACCATCTCTTTTCTTCCTTCATTTCAATACAACAGCAAATGTGATGTCACACTATCTAGTGGATAAAAATGTAGCAGACAAAACATTCGCACTGCCAGACTGCGCTGAATGCAAGTTTGTTTACACCCCTGAGCGGGAAAGTGTATACCAGGCTACTTGCACTGCTGCCATCAACCCTGTTAGTGTTGAATTCAATCTTATGTGACTTTTTAATTGGATCGGTAAAATGTCTTAAATGGTCATTTATGTTTTATTTAATCAGTTTTTGATATTTATCCACCATTTTATACATCCACTCATCTATGTTAATAAGGCAGACTTCGCAATTAATTGTTTAAATAAACTTAAATTCATTGCAAGAGGCAATACATCTGACACCGCTGTTTCAATGATAATTTACGATTGCCAGCAAAGCAGTAAAGTAGAAATGGTTTTCTTTGTGATACATTTTGTTCACCAAGAGTTTTGTGAAGCAGTCGTTTTGAGTTTCGTGTATTCGATTGTGTTTAATTGTGCTATACTTCGAAGCACACAAGTAAGGAAATACAGTGAATGTGTTTTACCCAGGAAATTTTCGATCTAAGATCACTAAATACATGTTTTAAATTTTCGTATTCATAATATATGAATGTATGTGTAAACTAATGATGATGATTTTATGATATTTAAAAAAGAAGAAGAACACAAAATTACTTACCCTTTGTAGAACCTTAATGAGTTGATGCGTCGATAGGTAGGGTCCAGATCTGTAAGCTGCCTTCCTGGCGTCGATAGTATTGGTACTCAGTACGGAAAACAAGATCGACGGAAAACAAATCAAGGAAAAAAAGGATAAGCAATTGAGGTAATGACATTAAATATAGGTAAGTTACTATTCCTTCTTTTATCTCAATTCTGAGGATAGTTTGAACAAAATTTTGAGAAAAATTGCAAAGAAATACTTAGAGAGTTTCAAGAGAATTTCGGGAGAATGCGTGCTGAATATTCAGGAGAATTATTTGAGAAATCCTAAGTAATACGAGAGGGACGAAAGTAATCCATTGTACATTACATTTAACAGATTTAAATAAAATTTGCTAAATAATTCATGTTTTTTTGGATAAACTTAATTCATAATGAATAATAACACGCGCCTGCCGATATCATCCAATTTCATCCACTATTCTTCGATAATCTTGAATGAGTTAGAATTATCTATCTGTTTACTCTAATATGTTTTAGTGTGTTTATGTTTACTGTCACCACAAACAAAGTGACAGACGGAGCGGCTCGAAAACTTTGGTGACTAATACCCCGGACAGACTATGGCTTATATCATGTAATATAGGCTGGCTTGCAATGAGCACTCATATATAGGATTTCCAGTGAAAACTAGATGTATGAGTGCTCATTGCAAGCCAGCCTATATTACATGATATAAGCCATAATCTGTCCGGGGTATAACCTGCAATTGCAATTGCAATTTTTCAGTGTACCACATGGCAACACCACTACTACTGGATTGAACCACATGGCAACACTACTACCACAAACGAAGTACTACCATAGAGGTAACTCTAAGACCACTGGGTCCCGAAGAAAATCATTATTATTTTTGGCTCACTCAGTACCAGAACAACGGTCCCAAGCAGTCCCAAGCTATTTCACTCACCCCTGCATGTTATGCATGAATCCACACACCCCTGATGTTATCTGTCAAACTTTCATAGCGAATCAAAACAAACATAGTGTAGTAATAGAATTTCAACTAGAATAGGGTACGTTAATCGTTTGCTTGGGACCAATAGGCTACTAAAGTGGTGAGCCAATTTAAAATCGTTAGTTTCGTATTGATTGTTGGTACTACTGAGGTACATAGAATTTCGAATGTTGAGACTTTAGAATAAATGTCCAACAAAATAATTAATAATTTCAGGCAAAAAATCCTCAATTGCAACGATTAATTCCCTTTATATTTAGATAAGATTTAGTTTTAGTTTTTAGTTTTAAGATGTAAATTGTTATACTGGCATGCTGGTTTAAAAAACCTGTTTAATACCCCGTACAGACTATGGCTTATATCATGTAATATAGGCTGTCTTGCAATGAGCACTCATATATAGGATTTCCAGTGAAAACTAGATGTATGAGTGCTCATTGCAAGACAGCCTATATTACATGATATAAGCCATAGTCTGTCTGGGGTATAAGGCAGGAAAAATGTAAAAACACTTCGATATATATCATACCAATTAAGGCTGATTAGTGACTGTAGTAACTGGAGCACCTAGGTTAAAATTAAATGTAATTTAATGTAAAATGTAAATGTAACAAATAAAAAGTTAAAATAAAAATGCCTAAAAATTGTCGAGTAAATTTTAAGGGTACCGTCAAGCTGCCAGTCACCGTGGGTGCTCCATCCAACGTTTCTCCTTGAAGTCAATTCTATTACTCTTTCGAAGTAGTGAAAAATTAAGATTTCCCTAATAAACGGGTACCATATACCGACGATATCTTAGATGGTGCGACCATACCACATAAAGTTGGGATGATAACCCGAATTGGTGGTTAGGCGCATCTTATGGTTATTGTTTATGCGGGTTATTCCGACCTAATTTAAGAAATAAATTTCATGTTTGATTGAATTTCAACCATTAGACAGCCCCATCGCGATTCGTGAGTTCTTATCCCCCGTCCATAGGAGGACCGCAGAGACATCTGTTGACGCGCAAGTCAACTCTGTCCCGTCTGCCTTCGTGCACGGTGCTGTCCTGTCACATCAGCAGCTCACTGCCTGTGTAAAAACTGGACAGCGATTGGGTGCTAGTCGGACGGTGAAGCATTTTAATCATAAATTTTCTGCACAAATTCGGTACCCTGGGTGGACAATATCTGCACCAACGGAATCCTGAATACTTCCGCCGAGTAGCGAAGACAGTGTTGGACCACCGCGGGAATGCGTACGTGCGGCAATCGGTGATCATTTTCTAGTGTTTAGGCTTTTTCGGGTCCCGAGACGACGACGAGAGGAAAAAGTTCCACATCAAAATCTCTTCCACCAAGAAGATTCCTTCTCGAGGGTCGAAGTGTACGTGTGTATGTGTGCGAGTTAGTGAGTGCGCGATTGATGTGCTTTATGGAATGAATGTACAACACTCTTCAGTGCGTTATTATTCATGTTTGTAATGTGAATGTGCTTCGCCATCAAAACAGCAGGAAATAAACATTGTTCGTGGCCGAAAAGTAGATCGAAGCTTCTCTGTTGAGTAAGAGTGGTAAGTGGGTGAGGTGTCCACAAAGTACGATGGGTTTGCTGATTTCGGTTTGCTTCGTTTTAGATGTGAAGCAACCATGTCCAGTGCCGGGAATGAAAAGAATGATGCTTTCTGGACAGCGGAACATGGCCATCCACCGCAGAACCAGCATCAGCAGCAGTTTATCGTACAGGATGGTTCCGTTCCAGCTGCTTCCAATAGTTACTACCATCCGAATGCAACCGGTGATCCCCACGGGATGAGCTATGGTCATCCACCAGCGGGAGATAATTTCACCGTTCTGTCGGATGGTTTCGGTAACTTCATCAAAGTCTACCATCAACCAAGCGAGGATGTGGTTAATTTGAATAACCCTGCTGGGAAGTACGAATATGAGCTGTTTTCGAGCAATAACAGCTTCATGCGTCCTGCTCCAGGGTTTGGATTTTTGTTCCAACCCCAACAGCAACAGCAACCGCAACCGTCAGTTCCGCAATCTTCGAATGCTTCCCATGCACAGCAGAATGCCCAATCGGAAACAACCGGAACCAACACCAGTATGTTGATCAATCAGTTGGTCGGAAACTGGGCTCCTACCATCTCCGGAACATACTCTCCCTTTGGTGGAGGAGGGCCATCCTTGCTTGCTGAAGGGCTTCCTAGGTCTTCCGAAGTTTACGTTCAACCACAACAGCAGCAGCAAACTGCACAACCCTCGCAGCAACAGCACGTTCATCTACAGCAACAGCAACAACAACAACCATCTCCCGAGGATCAACCAACTGGCGCCGTCAGTGGTACCTCCAACTCCTCAGCGAATCTTTCTCAACCGCAGCCTCAACAGCAGCAATCCTCGTCGGCTAATGTGTCTGCGACGGCTAGCTACAACAGCCAGCTGAATGATGACAACAGTGCTAAACTCAACCAGAATGTGAAGAAGCAACGCATCGTGGCCGAAGTGAAACCGATGCGAATGTCCTATTCCGATGTGCTGAGCAAGAATGTTGCATCTGCATCGACTACTCACTCGTCGTCCTCGTCTTCTGCGAACTCAAATATGAACGGTGGTAGCACTACCAGTAGTACTGCCAACAATAGCAACATTTCCTCTAGCAAGATGAACCCGTCAAGCAATGCAATGTATTCCGGTGGCAATGGCCATTCCTCCGGTGGCGGAAGTAAATCTAGCAAGGGAGATAAAGGACAGAATAAGAAGACTTCGATGCAACAGCCAGGATCGTCGATGCCGGATGATAAATCCGGTAGGAAGCTTGAGCGGAATGCCGGTTCTGGTGTTCAGAAGAAGGTGGCCAATTTGAACGGCTCGAACTCGTCCGCTAGCTATCATTATGCGGAAAATTTGACTGGTTATAAGCAAAATATGGCGACACAAAATGGCACTGAGAAGACTGCTAGGAAAATGGACAAACCAGCTGGAAAGGTTACAAAGGCAAGGTCTAATGAATCGGTCGGTTCAAACGGCGCAGGTCGCAAGAATCGCTCGCGGAACTTTAGCGATGAGTACACAATTCAGGACGTTCAAGGAGGTGGATCATCGAACAAGGAACCTACACGAGAAGATACGGAAGATATGGAAGATGACGAAGACGACGACGATGATGATGATGATGAAGAGGATGACGAAGACTTTGAAGAGTATGAAGATGAGTCCCCGCAACAGCAACAATCGTTCATGTATAACGTTAAGAAGAATAACAACCCCAACGATACTCATATCGAGAAGATCTCTGGTTCACGAGCGGCATATAAACGTGGAGGACGAGGCTCCGGAGTGGGTCGCGTTAAGGTGGATAAGTCGTACCAGCAAGCTAGTGGAAAACGAGGACAACGACCACGGAAGAACCAAAAGTATGTGATGGTTCAGAAGATTCTGAACACTTGGTTCGAATTTATGGTATTTGTCGTGACTTGGCTATGGTCATTGGTAAGCGATGTGGTTTATCTTAGCTTGAGGCTTTGCTGGGATTATCTTGTAGCTGGATATCAGTACTGCGAGCAGCATGTTGTCAGTATGAAACAGGAGTTCCAACAGAATCGACCGGGAGCGTGGTTCAAAGGCGTGTGGCAATCTTTCGACAATCGTTTCGCCAAGGACTCCAAATGGGCTTTCTGGCGTGGTAAGAAGAAGCCGGCTCCCGTTGAAGATCAAGCGAATGCCGGTAAAAACTACTACAAAGACGGTAGGCTGCCATCGACTGCGGACGAGGCGATGTCTTCGCTGTTGAACTGTAAGGGCAAGGATGCGTACAGTATTCTCGGTGTAAGTCCGGACTGCTCGCAGGAGCAAATTCGGAAGCACTACAAGAAGATTGCTGTGCTGGTTCATCCGGACAAGAACAAACAGCCAGGCGCGGAGGAGGCATTTAAAGTGTTGCAGCGTTCGTTCGAGTTAATTGGAGAACCGGAAAATCGGAAATCCTACGACCAGAGTCTCGCAGAAGCTCTCAACGCCGAAAAGGCATGGTCGGAGATTAACGATTTGCTGACGCAGTTGCACACGAAAATCTCAGAAGCCGCTAATACTATAAGGTGAGTTTAGAGGACTGGAATTGATGTTTTATTTTGCGGTTCAACATTGAATTTGGTTGAATTTCAGATGTAGCAGCTGCTGCCTCAGACATCCACGCAAGCCGACCGGTCGACCCCACTACGCTGCCAGGGAGTGTAATTCGTGCAAGATTCGACATTCCGCTCGCGAGGTAAGAGAAATTGTTATAAACTTTGCTTTTCATTTTGAAATCTATGATTGTTTCTTCCCCAAATAGGGTGACATCTGGGCCGAGACGAGTTTCTTTGGACTGCGCTGGAAGTATCTGGCCATGATGGAGGGCAACGTGTACGACATTACTGAGTGGGCCAACTGCCAAAAGGGAGCTTTATCGCACCTGCAACCCAACTCGCACATCGTTCAGTATCGGATAGTGCTCGGTGGGAATTCGCAACAACAGCAACAGCAGGGCAACCAGCAGCAAAGCGACAAAGATCCGAGCCGTTCTCGGAAGGATCCTCCGGCAAGGTAAGATGTGCTCCGAGTTGCTCATGAGTTTGAAGTTTAAATCTATATTCCATCCACTGTAGTGAACATAACTTGGACGACTTCCTGAACAATATCTACGGCGGTCAGAATCAACAGCAGCAGCAGCAACAGTCCCAGAGTGGCTCACGACGGCGGCACCGTCGCAATTGAAACTCCTTCGTTCTCGCGCATCTCTCCGCTCCGTTTAGAACTAGAACCTACGCGTAGTAGCCAACGCAGTAGAGATTATCAACCAGTGTTTAATAGTTTTTAATTTTGCATAGAGTGTATTTCCTTCCTGAAGCATCTTCGTACATCTGCTTATAATCTAATGAAGAATTCGCTAAATTGAAGAACAATAGAAGCCAGTACAAAGCGGTTATTGGACCCCCGAGATGATGATATATTTCCCATTTGCTATCGATACTCTGGATAGAAAGATTAAACTGTACCGATGAGGGAAGAGAAGTATATATTTATGCAGTATAGAACAACCACTAGCCGTGTAGTAGTAGTAGCAGTAGTAGTAGATTTAGGCGTTGAGATATTTATCAAACTATTCTCAAACTAGTAAGGCAACACGAAGGGAGAGCCGTTTGTTCGATATCGATTTAAATCATAATATCGCTGTAATCCTATCTTCAAATGCTGAAATATATCTAATAATGATGAATGGAAAGCTGAGTTGTTGTTTATTTCTGATCGTGATAGATGCCTTTGTGACGAGTAAATTTGGAATTTGAAATGGTTGGACCTGAAAAAGGAAAGTTCCTGCTCGTTTAACTTTCTTAATCGGAAATGGAAAACCAATGCTTCGTATGCAAGATGGAGGGGCACCGGATGCATTCCTGCCCCAAACGGAACGCCGAGAAGCAGCAAGAAAATCAACCACAGGACGAAGAACAGAGCGATAGAAATACGTTAACTGGAGGTGCACCCTTGGACAACAACAAGGAAAATAGACGTGTCGACGCCGGAGACCGAAGAAAGAGGACAAGCAAACGATTGCAAAGTTCACCAGCCGCTTGTGTTAAAGTAGCTGAACAATAGGTACTAGTACTACTATACAAGTTCGTAATGGTAAACTACACGGAGTAAGAGCAACAGCAGGACAAAAAACACGTCGTGTGGCAGGTTCTGGATACAACAAACAAGGATTAAGGACAGTGTGGGCACGATAGAAAGCAAAAAGTAACAGCAATAGCTTGCCTCCAGGAAGAAATAGGTCCCATACAGACCATCTAGAACCTTTCTATCAGGGTGTCTACTCATTTTGCTTGAGTTTCCCAGTTTTTTTCAGGACTTAAACGGAGGTTTTTGGAGATTTTTTTTAAACGTGAATTCCTTGAAACAGACTGCAGAATTTCCTAAGATCTCTTCTTTGAGATCTTTAAAGATGATTACAGGAATAACCTTGAAATTCTCCATAGTATTCCTTTGAAATTTACTTCAAAACTTCGTCGAAAATCATATAAATTTAGGCGTTTGAGACTGACATACGAGCGTTAATTTTGACATAAAATTGAGTCATTGAGCGAAACGCGAAATTCCGCTCAATAAAACGTACTTTTCGTCAAGTAGCGAACTTCTCAGTCTCGGAGCACTTAATTTTACTTTTATTTCAGAATTCTCTTTGCATTCTGCTTTTTTTTTCGATGGAATTTCCGATGTTTTCCTTACAAATCCCTTAAAAAGACTCATCAAAAGTTTAAGTCAGAACGCTCTTTGAAATCTCTTGAAATTGCCTTGGAATGCACCACAATGTAAATTTACTTTTAATCCTATTCAAGATCAGGATTTCGTTGAAATGCTACTCAAAACTACCTGTAAATTCTCCTTACGTTTCACCTGGAGTCTGGAGTTCATCAGAACAAATGTTTGAATTTGTTTTTATTTTGATTTTGCGAAACAGAAAAGGGTCTTATGAAGGGCAAGTCTCAAGGTCACATACCAGAACGTGAGTGGAACATGGTGATCACGTCAAACTATAATGTCTAAAACTAACCATCAACCTCATACCCAACACACAATTAGTGCTGATTAAGAGCTGAATAAGCTATTTTTGAGTTGAAGAAGCATATTTCGTAGTCGCGCACGCTGTTTCCTGTCATCATAATCGTTCTCCCACTGCGGTCCAGTATGGCGGTGAGGTCCCCCAACCATCATGTTCAGACAAGTCAAGCTGAACTTTGCATTAGGTCCTAAGTAACATTGATCGATTCTCTTCGTCGACTTTCTCTTTCGTTAATAACTTATTCACAGAACCGTTTCTTGATGTGTTTGTCGTATTGGATGCTAGATAAAAGCTTCTTTGATCGATTTATGTGCTGAAAATACCTGGGAATGTCTTTACATGACCGTGGGGATGCAAAGAGAAAGTCGACGAAGATAATCTGTCAATGTTACTTAGGACCTAATGCAATGTTCAGCTTGAAGTATGCTTCCATTAGCAACAGGTCTGATCAGTTTTCGAGTTCCAGTGTTACGGCTCTAGATACCGGCTCCTTCACCGACTTCCTCCAGTTGATTAGCATTTCTGTTGTCAACGGCATTGAACAACTGCTGTACAGCCTGTGTCATCAAACTTCACGCTCGGGACTGCATTTTAGAAGCTCCTGGTTTCTCTAGTTCAGCGGGACTATTCCTGCCAGCGCTCATCATATTCGTCCCGGACCTATGACTGGATGTGGATCAGGGGTCTTCCAGCTTGCTTCAACAGGTCACACATGTTAGCAAGACAATTGCTTATTCCACTCCTGAACAACATGGTCTGCAGTCCACCGATGACGACATACTTTACAACGCAGATTCTGAATACACTGCACCGAATCATCGCAGCCACGTTTCTGAAACTGTCAGCCCAGAACGCATTGCCTGCCGCCTCATGGAAGCCCCTAAGCGTCTCAACGCAGTCGTGTTGACTGATTCCTGCCACCGTTGTCGTTCTGGCCCTGTGGTTGCGAACGGTGAAGGGGTCATACAACCTTCGATTTTAGGCACCTGATCAGCCTCTACGTTTGAGCGCAACGTCTTCTTCACCACCGACTGAACCTCGCCTATGTTATCCGATGGACTTGTGGTGTATTATCAAACTGTTCGTGGCCTGCGAACTGAGATTGACGACTTAGGTATTCTTGACTGCTGTTGCGTCCAACTACGATGCAATAGTTCTTACCGACTGGCTAGATGATCTTATTCACTCAGTACAATTATGTTGGCAGCATGTTCTCAGTTTTTCGCAATGACCGTAGCCGGATGAACAGTGCCAAATCAAGTAGTGATGACATCTTGATTGCGGTTTCCAAACGACTGAACTGCTGCTTCGATCCTGCTCCGGTCAGCACTTCTGTGGAGCGGTTATGGGTGAAGTTTACGACATCACACAACATTATAAACATCGGCGGTGTGTACCTTCCGCCTGACCGTAAATCTAATTTGAGCTGCGTTGAGAACCATACCAGTTCCATTGGTGCTGTATTGTCCCGATTACATCACAACGATCTAGCTCTGCTATTTGGCGACTACAACAAGCCTGGGGTTGTTTGGAATATTTCCGCGAATGATCATTCTTCGGTCGTTCATGCCTGCTTCCTGCCGTGCTCTTTTGGATGGTTTCAGCATAGAGGTAACTCTAAGACCAGAAGGTCCCGAAGAAACGAGCTCAACTTTTTGGCTCAGCTCTGGTACTCACCCATATTCTCGTTTTCGTTCGAACCGTATTTCCCATATAAAAAAAAATTTGTATTGAAAATACGGTTCAAACGAAAACAAGAATATGGGTGACTATCTTCGGTCTCAAGCTAATCGCTGCACCCCTCGAAACATAGGAAAATCCACGAACCCCTCATTTTATCTGTCAAACTTTCATAGCGAATCAAAACAAACATAGTTTAGTACTGGAATTTATACTAGAATGGGATACGTTAATCGATTTGCTTGGGACCAATAGGCTAGTCAAGTAGTGAGTCAATTTGAAATCGTATTGATTGTTGGTTTCAGTCTGCATATTTTAACGCAAATTAATTCTGTACCAAACAGAAACTCTCGGCTGCTTGAACGAAGTCGCCACACTAGAGTGCAGTGTAGTCGAGGCATCCGAGCCTCTGATATATCTAGACGCCGATCATCCAGCGTTGGAAGCATTCATCAATCTTTCAGCTTCTGTTCTCTATGAAGACACCGTTGTTGTACAAAGCATGAACTTCCGTAGAACTGACTTCGTTGCATTGAATCACGCACTGGTACAGGTAGATTGGCATTCGCTTGACTTAGTCGATTATTAATGGGTTGTGTCTCTGAGGAGACCTGCCTCAAAACCTGCATGGTGTAATGCTCGATTAAGACACTTGAATCGTGTGAGTTCGAAGGCTCTTCGCACATATGGCCAGTCCCGTAATCCATTCACCAAACGCTTATTTTCCTTAGCTAGTAATGACTATCGAATGTACACCCGTTTTCTATACAAGAAGTACTCAAGACTTAAGCAGATAATTTTTTTTTTAAATCTTTATTTAAGAGATTTTTAGCCGAAGGCTAGTTCATCTCACGTAAGCAGATCAATCTCCGGCGTAATCCTAAGCTATCTTGGACGTTTGTGAAGACAAAAAGGAAAGAGGGTAGGCTACGGGTTGAGATTCATCTAAGCGATACAAAAGCCAACACTTCTTTAGAAAAACGCAACCTCCTGGCAGAGCATTTTGGGCTACAAAATGGTGAGTTGACAACCTGGAAGGAGCGGAATACCTAGCTCTGGTCCTCACAAGTCTCTACTTCACGCCTCCCCGAATCATATGATAACAAAAGACTACCAGCTGAAACATGGACACAGCTGGGTGGCGTAGCCTGGGCAATGTTGCCAGTCCGGCAATAGCAAAGTGAAGAGGTGCGACGCACACACTGAAGCGTTAACCATAGTACGGTAAAAGAGGAAATGCTTCATCAAATCCGAGCGTCTGTTCACCAGCTGATGCGGCTGATCATCGTCCTAGTACCAGCGTGGGACTCTAAACAGAGCTGTGCAAGATGGTCCCCCGGTGAGACAGGGGGTTGGGGCAGGTCCAACAAACTGCCCGAAAAAACATAAAGTTGCAAATACTGAAGAAAGAAATCCGGATCGGAACCGGATTGGAAACTCCGAATATGGAACTGCAAATCGCTCGGCTTCCCGGGCTGCGATAGGTTAATCTATGACGAACTTCAATCACGCAACTTCGAAATTTTGGACGGGACAAAAGGTATGGAAAAGCGGGCATCGAGCGGCTACTTTCTACCAGAGCTGTGGCACTACCAACGAGCTGGGAACCGGCTTTGTAGTGCTGGGTAAGATGCGCCAACGCGTGATTGGTTGGCAGCCGATCAACGCGAGGATGTCCAAGTTGAGAATTAAGGGCCGTTTCTTCAACTACAGCATCATTAACGTGCACTGCCCACACGAAGGGGGACCCGACGACGAGAAAGAAGCGTTCTATGCGCCGCTGTACGACGGCTGTTCGCAACGGGACGTCAAAATCGTCATCGGCGACATGAACGCGCAGGTAGGACGGGAGGTAATGTATAGACCGGCAATCGGGCCAAACAGCCTGCATGCCGTATCGAACGACAACGACCAACGATGCGTAAACTTTGCAGCCTCTCGGTGTGTGGTAGTTCGAAGTACCTTTCCCCCCCCCCCCCCCCACCCCGCAAGGATATCCACAAAGCCACCTGGAGATCACCTGACCAACACACAGAAAACCAAATCGATCACGTTCTAATCGACGGGAAATTCTTCTCCGACATTATCAACGTCCGCACGTACCGCAGTGCGAACATAGATTCGGACCACTACCTAGTTGCAGTATGCATGCGCTCAAAACTCTCGACGGTTCATAACATCCGTCGAAGTCGAACGCCGCGACCCAAAATTGAGCAATTACGGGACGCCGGAGTTGCTCAGGACTACGCGCAGCAGCTGGAAGTTGCACTACCCACGGAAGAGCAGCTTGGCGCAGCTTCTCTTGAAAATGGCTGGCCGTTCCGCCATAGGTAGTACTGCTGCAGCGGCACTAGGTACTGTAATCCCGGACCGAAGAAATGACTGGTTTGACGGCGAATGCAAACTGTTAGTAGAGGAGAAGAATGCAGCACCGCACGAGACTGAATGTGGAGTGATACAGACAAGCGCGGAACAGACAAATAGCAGGAAGACCGAGATCGCGAGACGATGGAAAATCTGTACCGCGTAAACGACACACGGAAGTTCTATGAGAAGCTAAATAGTTCTCGCAAAGTCTACGTGCCGCAAGCCGATATCCAGAACAACATGTGAAAAGGGCATACAAGCTTTTTGTAAACAAACCTTTGTAGGCCTTTTTCTCACCAACCGAGGGTCGACTACGGAAACCAGCAATATAATCGGGAAGGGGAAAGTGTCCCCTACCCGGTGATGTTAAAGGTTTGCGTTGGTGTCATATGGGTGGCGAGAAAAGGGCATAAGAAGGTTTGTTTACAAAAAGCTTGTATGCCCTTTTCACATGTTGTTCTGGATATGTGCAAGGACGTGGACGGTAACCTTCTCACGAACGAGTGTGACGTGATTGAGAGGTGGAAGCAGTACTATCAACAATCTATACGAAACTTACGATTTTAAATTGGCTCACTACTTGACTAGCCTATTGGTCCAAAGCAAATCGATTACGTGTACCCCATTCTAGTCAAAATTCTAGTACTACACTATGTTTGTTTTGATTCGCTATGAAAGTTTGACAGATAAAATGAGGAGTTATTCGATTTTCCTATGTTTCGAGGGGTTAATCGATTAGCTTTGGACCGAAGATAGTACCAGAGCTGAGCCAAAAAGTTGAGCACGTTTCTTCGGGACCTACTAGTCTTAGAGTTACCTCTATGGTACTATGACGAGCACCTCAACTGTGATGCAGCAGAAAACGAAGGTGGCACGGCAACAGACCTTGGAGCACACGCAGAAGACGACAGGCTACCGACCCCTGATCTTCAAGAAGTTGAGGAGGAGATCGGTCGGCTGAAGAACAACAAAGCAACTGGTGTAGATCAACTACCAAGTGAGCTATTAAAATACGGTGGTGAAGCACTGGCTAGAGCGCTGCACTGGGTAATTTCCAAGATTTGGGAGGAGGAGATATTACCGGAGGAGTGGATGGAAGGTGTCGTATGCCCAATCTACAAAAAGGGCGACAAGTTGGACTGCTGCATCTACCGCGCGATCACACTGCTGAGCGCTACCTACAAGGTACTCTCGCAAATTCTATGCCGCCGCCTGTCACCATTTTCAAGAGAGTTCGTGGGGCAATACCAGGCAATAAATTCATGGGTGCCCGCGCCACCATGGACCAAATTTTCGCGATTCAGCAGGTTCTGCAGAAATGCCGCGAATACAACCTGTCCACACATCATTTGTTCATCGATTTCAAATCCGCATACTACACAATCGATCGAGATCAGCTATGGCAGATTATGCACGAGTACGGATTTTCGGATAAACTGACGCGATTGGTCAAGGCGACGATGGATCGAGTGATGTGCGTTGTTCGAGTATCGGGGAAATTCTCGAGTCCCTTTGAATCTCGAAGGGGGTTACGGCTAGGTGATGAACTTTTGAGCCTGCTATTCAACATCGCGTTAGAAGGTGTGATCAGAAGAGCAGGGATAGACACGAGTGACACGATCTTCAGGAAGTTCATCCAGCTTCTTGGCTTCGGCGATGCCATCGACATCATGGCACGGAACTTTGGAACGATGGCGGAAACGTACATCAGGCTGAAGGCTGAAGCTAGGCGGATTGGACTTGCCATCAACGCATCAAAGACAGAATACATGAAAGGAAGAGGTTCTACGGAAGACAGTGTTAGCCTCCCACCCCGAGTTCAGATTGACGGTGACGAAATCGAGGTGGTCGACGAGTTCGTGTATTTGGGCTCACTGGTGACCGCCGAAAATGAAACCAGCAGAGAAATTCAAAGACGCATTATGGCAGGGAATCGTGCCTACTTTGGACTCCGAAGGACGCTCCGGTCGAATAAAATTCGCCGCCGCACGAAGTTGACTGCCTACAAGACGCTGATTAGACCGGTGGTCGTCTACCGCCACGAGACCTGGACTATGCTCGTGGAGGACCAACGCGCCTTGGTTCGAGGACCAACTTCGTGTTTTCGAACGGAAGGTGTTGCGTACCTTCTACGGTGGAGGGAAAAAGGATGACAGAACGTGGAGGAGACGAATGAACCACGAATTGCACCAGCTGCTGGGAGAACCATCTATCGTCCACATTGCAAAAATTGGGCGACTACGGTGGGCTGAGCACGTCGTAAGAATGCCGCAGGACCGAAACATTCCTAGACGATAGTACAAAAAAGGCCACCCTGTTTCACGCACAGTTTGACGTTTGTTTACGGGATTTTCCATAGGAGTAAAGAGCTACAGAGTCGCCGTCAACGCCAATTTTGATTTTGAGCGAAAAAACTGCTTTTGAGACTCCAAAAATTATTGACGTCCCCTTTCACCTTAATTTATTTTAATGTGTATTGGAGGATCGAACTTCGAACATTAGTTCATTTGCCCTACGTGAACCGTAAAGAGGTACACTTTTATTTGAGAGTGTAATTTCATGACTCTAAAATTCACCACGAGGAAAGTAAAAAAGAAAAATGCAAAAGTTTGTTGTGTCATTACGATGATAAGAACAGTACTTGATAGAGCTGGAATTAGGGCGTAACAGCTTTTGTAAACAATGTCTTCTATCGATGATTTCTCGAAACTCAAGGCACGCCCACGCAAACCAACATAACCAACGGGAAGTGGAAGTCTTCCCCCACCAGATGGTGACGTTGATTTGAGTGGGCGAGCCTTGGCTTTCTAGAGATCATCGAGAGAAGTCATTGTTTACAAAAGCTGTTACGCCCTAATTCCAGCTCTATCTAGAGTATCTCTCTGCGTGAAGGAAAAGCCAGTTTCAAGACAAAAACAAAATCATCCAACGCAGTATAAATTTTTCAAAATTAAAATTTAAAACTATTTCTTAAAACGAGAATGGCAGAAGAGGCAATATTCGAATACTTACATTCCGAAATCGTTAGCTACACACTGACAAAGGAAAGTAACAAGGTTTGTTGAAGTTCTGCTGAAAGAAACACCCCCCGATGGTGTACTGACATCGAAAACCACCCGAAATCTTTCCAGGAAAATGACCTCTCAGCACTGGAGTACATCGGCTACTCGACCGGGTATCGAATCATCGAACGCCTAACCCGCGAGTGGCCCAGGTTCAAGGACGAACTGGACACCATGAAGTTCATCTGCACTGATTTTTGGAGCTCCATCTACAAGAAACAGATCGACAACCTCCGGACGAACCATCAGGGCGTTTACGTCCTGCAGGACAATGCATTCCGGTTTTTGACCCGGCTGTCGTCGAGCTCGCAGTACTTGGAACACGCTCCCAAGGTAGGTTTGGGTCGGGATAAATTTATGAAACGGTAACCATTATTTTCATTTGTAGTTCGTTGCCTTTACGTGCGGATTGGTGCGTGGTAGTTTGGCGAATCTGGGCATTACGAGTACCGTGACTGCAGAGGTGCAGACCATGCCTTCGTGCAAATTTCATATTCAAGTTAATCGAGGATAATTCCATGTTATCGTAAAATTAAAATTATTTATCATATAAAAATAATAACGGAAACATAAATAAAGCCTAGCAAGACAAATCGACTAATCTGTCAAATTATGTTGACGTCTATATATAGCGAAAGAAACGTCAAACACGTGCAGTTATTGGTAAACATTCTATAGCTTTTAAGCATAGCACAATCAGGCGGGTGAAATTACTGAAAAAAATTTTCAATAAAAATGTCCACGACGTGGAAAAAGTACGTCCTCTGGTTCGCCCAAGAACACGTGGATTTCCGGCAGGCAGTGAGTATTCGTACTATCATAACAATAGCAGCTTGAATCAGGTTAGTTTTCTGTTAGGAAATCGCTTCGCTGCTTCGGCTATGGAACCTCAAGATGAACACCGCCGTAAATCACAAACCGGAAAATCCCTTCTGGATTGTAGAACTCCCGGATGACGAGGCGGCTCGGAAGTTGGCATCCCGTTCGATGTCCTTGCGGTGCATTTTTGAACTGTGGACGCATTCCAATTTCCACAGTACATTCCACGACCAGTTGAAAGGATTCATCAAGACCAACCAAGCCACGTTGAGCCCAGTGTTTGAAAAGGATCGTAGCTTTAAGATCACTGTCGAAACGTTCAACAAACATTTCTCGCAAACCGAGAAGGTGGCGAAAATCGAAACGCTGAACTATCTACCCGCGCAAGGGCCAGTCAATTTGAAAACACCGGATGTGCATTTCTGGTACATTGAGTTTTGGGGACTGGATCCGATGGATGTTCCGGGGCAGCCGTTGGATGTGTTATTCGGAAAGTGGGTGGTCGATGGCCGGAGGGATATGATTAATGAGATATCTCTGAAGAAGCGGAAGTTCATTGGGAATACTTCGATGGATCCGCAGCTGTCGCTGCTTATGGCCAATCAAGGTCTGGCAAAGGAAGGTGATTTGGTATACGATCCGTTTGTGGGGTCCGGATCGCTACTGGTGGCGGCGGCAAAATTTGGCGCGTACGTGTTGGGGGCAGATATCGACTATATGACGGTTCATGGAAAGTCTAAGCCGACCAGGGTGAACCAAAAGGTGCGGGATGCGGATGAGAGCATATATGCCAATTTGAAGCAGTATGGATGTGAGCGGTACTTTCTGGACGTTCTTGTGTCGGATTTTTCCAGGAGCATTTGGAAGGACAGCATTCAATTTGATAGTATTATCACGGATCGTAAGTTTTGCTCTGGCTTGACGGGAATGAGTATTCTTTATCATCCTTGTTGGATATTTTCAGCGCCATATGGCATTCGAGAATCAACCGAACGGATTGAGTTCAAGACGCAGAAACGAGCAACTTGTTTGAACGAAGACAGTGTTCACTATCCATCTACCTCGCCGTATCAGTTCGATCAGCTTTATCGGGACCTGATGAACGTTTCTGCGCGGTACCTCAAACTGGGAGGTCGATTGGTCTGCTGGTTTCCCATTTTACGGTGGGTAGCTCTCTTTTAGATTCACTTTGAATTAGCCGAATCGTGCCTATCACTCTCATTGCAGAAAGGACTCCACTTTGGATATGTTGCCTCGTCACAAGTGCCTACAGCTCGTTGCCAACTCGGAACAACCGCTTACGGTGTACAGTGCGCGCCGGTTACTAACCTACGAGAAGGTTTCCGACCGTGAGGAGGATATGGACTCCTATGAGCTGTCTCAGGTGATGATTGACAACTTCCGGCAGCGATATATGAAGACGGTACTGCAGAACAGTGGCACCCGTAAGGAACGACGGCTAGCGTTGCGAAACGTCGGTCGCGATGAGGCACTGAAACGAGGCAAGTTGCTGGGCATCGACGGGAAGTGGAAGTTTCCCAAAGAGGAGGAAGGTGATAAAACCACGGAGCAATAAAGGGAGCCAAGCGCTCGATGACAACTGAATTCGTGTTGATCTTAAATGCAATGGGGACTAGAGCTTGGGGTGTGGGAAGGAAAGTATCTAAATGTAGACGATTACTTACATTCGTGCGACGGTTATCTTCTGGCGTGGAACCCTGAATATGATATGAGTGGTTAGAATCGATATACAGAAGAAGATCGTTACCTTTACACGAACCTAATGTGGATCACGCGTCTGCGATCGCTGGGATGAATCAAATCCAACTTCTGGCTCCATTCGTATTCCTTCCAATCTTCCTTGCGCTTTTTTCGATCAAAGTAAGATATAATGCAACTGACGGGTATCCAGAACAGCGCTGTCAGCATCACCACGGCCACTGAAAGTTTGAAAATCATTTGATAAGTAAATTTCTTTTCAATCAGTCCAAACATTCACCACTTACTGACTATGTTGTCCCGCAAAAATCGTAGCACCTTATTGATGTTGATCTCCTCGATGATATCCCAGAACCGTTCCACCACATCCTGGATCGTTTTCTCGCACATCCCCTTGTTGCAGAATCCTTGAATGCAGGGCGTTCCGTCGGGCAGCACATCCGGTGGCTCCACCGGGAAGCACGTCTCGTTGATGCTCTGCCGACAGCACCGCTTACAAGCGTCGGCCATCGTATCGCACATACAGCTCTGTAATCCCTGCGTCTCACAGTACGGTACACATTTTCCGTTGCGACATTGTCCTCGCTCCTGGCACATGGTACCGTCTCCCATCGGGGGACTTTTGGGACAATCAGCATGGCTTCCAGTGCATCGGGCTTCCTGTTCGCATGTTGCGTACTGGGCTTCCCGACACTTCACCCCGGCCATCATGTACTGGCAGTTCTGGCAGCACGGTGAATTTTTATCACTGCAAACTGCCCCTTGACTCCGCCTTAGCTTGCAGTTCTTGTCGCAGCAACCGTCGTTATCCTCCGTACCCAGCAGCCCGGCATCGCACTGCTCATCACCTTCTACCCGCAAATTGCCGCAGAACGATTCCTCCGGTTCGGAGAAGCACCGACCGGATTTGGCCTGCAGTACCTTGCGGATCGATCGCAACGAACATGGCGAGAACTTTTTATTATTCACATCGTACCCACTGACCGAGTAGGTGTACATCAGGAAGCTGCCACCCTGGGAGGCACTCGGCGAGCATTCCGGAATATCCGGATCATGCTCTGAGCCCCAGTTGTGCCCGAACTCGTGCGCTGTGACGAGGTCCGCTTCGCGCGTTATAACCCGTTGACCGTAGTGGTTCCGGGAGCTGCTCAACCCGGAGTTCAAATATAGTGTGTAACCGTTTTTGAAGTACTCTGCGGGGAAAGGAACGATTAGAATGTTAGTTCAAAATGCTGCGGGAAAAATACGAGGTCAGAAGTTAAGATAAAGAAGCACCTGGTGTACAGATACCACCGACGGAGTTACGCCGGGGCGATCCGACGTATGCCAGACCTAGAATGCCGCCTTCGAACTTAAGGTCCGTGAACAGGTGAGCCAGGCAGAAGTCTTTGTGGCTGTACTCGCGGGAGAAGATCTTAAGATCGAACGGTTTTCCGCGAATCCAATGCAGCATTTAGGAGAGAACGGTTGAGGGAGCGTTCATTAATTGTGTTACGCAAATTTTTGCTCAAAATTAACCCCCTCTCCCCTCTGTCTCGTGACAATTAGGTCACGTTATCACAGCTCCCCCTTCGAGCAGATCCCCGTCAACATCAACAGAACCACTTTTGATCGGTTTTCATTGTTTTAGCTTGACTCGTGTTCATTTCTTCTTTCATTGTCAAATGAACTTACTTTTGCATTGAAGCAAAGCTGTTCGATCCAAATTCGCGCAGTTTTTGTGACTTTTGTTGATTGTTCACTCGGTTCATTTAAGCGTGTGCGCATAGATCATGGTTGTAAAATTTATCATTATTGGGTGGTTGGTTTACCCATCAATATGGGTATTTTTTTATCGGGGTGACGTATAGTGATCGAAAATTGATATGCGACGCCATTTTTAAATCCAAGATGGCAGCTTCCAGTTTAAGAAAAAGTGGGAAATGCTGTCAAATACGTATCAACAATAAAGGTATTTTTGGAATCGGGATGAAAATCGATATCCGACGCCATTTTGAAATCGAAGATGGCGGCTTCCGACTTAATAAAAAGTGGGAATACAGTCAAATACACATCAATATTGATATTTTTGCAATCGGTATGAAGTCTACAGATCGAAAATTGATATGCGACGCCAATTCGGAATCCAAGATGGCAGCTTCCGATTTCATAACAAGTGGGAAATATTGTCAAATACCCATCAATATAGGTATTTTTGGAATCATGATGGCGTCTAGAGGCCGGAAATCGATATCCGACGCCATTACAATATGGCGACCTCCTATTTCAGAAAAAAAAATGGGAAATGCTGATGCCGTCCCATCAACATGGGTATTTTTGGAATCGGAGTGACGTCTGGGGATTGGATATCAATATCCGACGCCATTTTGAAATCCATGATGGCGGCATCCGGTTTAAGAAAAAGTTGTAAATTCACGCCGTCTTTAAACCCAAGATGACGGCTTTGGTTCAGAAAAAAAAACTGTGAAATACTGTCCAAAACCGATCAATGTGAGTTTTTTTGGAATCGGGCTGACATCAAAAAGTCAGAAATAGATGTGCGACGCCATCTTGAAATTCAAGATGTTAGCTTCCAATTTCAGAAGAAGTGTCAAATAGCCTACAAATGTCGATTTTCAGCATCTACGCGTGGTCTCCGTTCCGAAAATACCCAGATCTTAGGGCATTTGACACTTTTTGTGAAACCCGATGGCCGCCATATTGGATTTCAAAATGGCATCGAATATCGATTTTCGGCATCTACACGTTGTCCCCATTCCGAAAATACCCAAATTGTAGGATATTTTAAAACTTTCTGAACACTAATGGCCGCCATATTGGATTCCAAAGTGGTATCTGATATCGATTTTCGGCATCTACGCGTTGTCCCTGTTCTGAAAATAACCATATTGTAGGGTATTTGACGCCTTTTCTGAAATAGCATCGGATATCGATTTTCGGCAGCTACGCGTTGTCACCGTGCCGAAATACCCATATCTTAGGGTATTTGACATGTTTTAGGAAACTTGATGGCCATCATCTTGGATTCCAAAATGGCGTCGAATATCGATTTTCGGCATCTACGGGTCGTCTCCGTTCCGAAAATACCCATATTGTAGGATATTTGACACTTTCTGAATCCTGATGGCCGCCATATTGCATTCCAACATATCGTCGGATATCGATTTTTACCATCTACGCGGCATCCTCGTTCCGAAAATACCCTATTGTATGGTATTTGATACTTATTCTGAAACCCGATGGCCGCCATTTTGGATTCCAAAATAACGTCGAATATCGATGGCCTCGATGGCCTAGAATGGCCTCGTCAATTTAATTTTCGTTTAATATAAAATAATATATTTTTACTACATATAATCTGGATGCCATCCCTATCGGCAGCCTATATTGTGCGGATACTATCCGGATACTATATTTTGATGCCTGCGTCGTCAGGTCGTGACAAGTCATTTTAGGCCACAAGTTTTTTGTTTGTCTACTTAGCTGGATGCTTTCTTCGGCAAGTATGAAGCTCTATTTGTAAGCCACATAGCAAAATATATGAACAAACAAACTTCCATCTAGTCGTACTGTCATGTTAAAGCAAGTAATAAGGTGTCAAATTGCACACTAGCGTCACATGCGGAGCGAATTCTGAACTGATCACTCCATCATCCAATATGTCGTATTCATCAGAACAACTTTATCCAAGAGCGCTAATTTCTATCTAGTCGAAGTCGCAAGTTAAACCAATAAGAAGTGAAATGGTATACTAGCAATGAGAAGTTAAAAAGTATACTATTGTGATGTACACCATCCAATAAGTCTCTTTCACTTAAACAAGTTTTCCAAAGACAGAACCATCTAGTCAAGATGTCAAGTTAAGCGAATAATTTATTAGTGCCACCTGGAAGACGAATTCTCAACTAAACTATTCACCTTCCAATATGCCTTATGCATCTGAAACAGCTTTGATGAAGAGTGAACTCATGGTGAATTTGGAACTGATTACTCATTTAGAATTACCCGTTACGGCCTTGTAGGAAATAAAGATAAATATTTTTTCAATAACTGTTTACCTTTGAAGGTTACTAATTCTAACCACCATGACATCACTAAACATTTCTCCTCGCATTTCACTTAAAATCGTGAAAGTGGGGTTACTCTGAGTGAGTCAAATTATCCTCAAAATATGCTCGAATATGACGAAATTCGAGAAAAAATTACCTGTCTACACGGCCGATAAAAGTAACTCAATACTTGAGTTGAATTCAACTTACAATTGCATTAGATTGTGTAGCGCCATTGGCCACTGTAGGGATACCCGTTAAACAAATTCAAAGTGAGCGCCGTTTAAATACAATTTTAGCTATTCAACGGGATTCTACGGTATTCAAGAAGTTTTTCCTAGAAAATAGAGGAAAAATATACTCATTCACTAAGTAACCCAATGAGTTAATCTCATTGGACGTGTACTAGTGTACTCGTAGACTTAACTTAAAGTTAGATCCATTTTCATTAGTTTACTAATGATAAATAACTATAATTTTTGTACCAAACAAATCTTATATCAATTCTGAATCAAAGGGTGTGAAAAGAATTGAAATCCATCAATAAATTGCCATGTTATAAGCGTTTGAAACCTAACACTATTTCGTTACACAATTTTTTGATTTGCACCCCAGTAATACTGCGATAGTCCACACAGACGTAGTCCTACGCCAAAAAACGCATAACCTCTCAAATTCATTCACTCACCTCCAGCAGGTTGCGTACGTCCCACTTTTCGCGGACCATATTGTAGTGTGCCTCGCCGCCACGCACCCTCGTGGGCTCCGAATGAACCACAATCTTTTTGATGACGAAGCCCATCCCCTTGAAGCCTTCCTGATCGGAACGATCCTGCCAGATGGTATCGTTGTAGATTTTGTGAACACGATCGATCAAGCTTATCTGAAAATATAAACTTGTTAGAAACAACTTGAGCATAATTAGTCGACCACAACTCACCAAATAATTGATGGTCGTTTTCGTGTTGCTCCCGCCCATTTCCTGGAAGAACCGGTAATCGGCCACCAGCAGCAACGGACATCGGGTCTTCGTCGGGGTGTACTCATACTGATCCGCCTGGCGCTTCCTACGAATTTGCTTCACCTCTTTGTCTTCTCCTTCAGCCTCCGCCGTCCACACCGATGGTATATTCTCAAACCCCTCTATCCCGTCCTCCCCATCGTCGCCACTGCCTTCCAGTTCCGCACCTTCCTTGATGTATCCACACGTCTTCGGCACGCCTCCCATTTCCCCACCTACAGCCTCCACATCATCCCAGCTGAACATGATATCCGAAGCCTTATAGGCAATCATATGCCTATCGGTCAACTGATCCAGATGTCTCCACGATGGTTCGATGTGGTAGGTCTCGCCTGGAACCATCACTGAAGCCGTCAGGACTCCGTTCTCCAGTTGTGCGTTCACGTGGGAGTTCGTCTCGCCGAAAACCCTCCCCTTGAAGAAGCTATCATGATCCAAATGGACAATCGATTCCGTTCCGCTTCCGTCAACTGAGTACGCCCGGAAGTTACTGTGGAGTACTTCCTTGTGCGGATGCAGAATCAGGCGGAAGTTCCGGCCCAGCACCTTGAATTCCACCTCCTTGATCGTGTTGTACGGGTGGCTGCTGTGCTTGGTGCCCCGTTTCGTGATCCGATGCGTAAGATCGTCCGCGTGCAGCGTTTCGTAGTGTTTTAGGTTTTTGTGAAGTTGTGCTGCAACAAACAGACCAGAGATAAAAACGGATCGATAATGGACTCAATTTTGCATACCCATCAGGGGCGAACATTTTCACTTACCATTTGCCGCTTGGAACGAGCAAAGAACTGATAAAATTATGCCTATTGATGCGAGTTTTACACTAGGGAAGCGATTCCTCCACTTTTGATCCATATTTGCTTGAGTTTTCATCAAGAAATAAGCAATTTTCACGCACAAACAAGGAAATTTTCACTAGACCACCATATTTGTTTTTCCTACTTTGAGCGTTTGGTACGAATATTCGTGGAACTGTCAACGGTGGAAGCCAAACAAACGTGCCGCTGCAATGTGAGCGTACGGCTGTAAGCAAACCCCGACGATCAGCTGTTTCGGCTGTCACAGCCAGCCCACGCCAGCTGATCGACAGCTGACCGGCTTGCGGGGTTTGTTGACATCTGCTGTGCAAAAATTGCGATCCGCTGCAAGCAAAATGTGCCCGTGTGAGCCAGCAGTGCGAAGCTGATTGTTTTTGTTGATGTGATACGATTTGATTGAACCAAGTTTAACTTCGAAATGTGGAAGAATATCCACCAAATTCGGTGGTTTTGTAGCAAAAGCAATAATTTTTCCTTTGTAACAACGCCCATTTTCTACGTGAATGCAGGTAAGTAAGGAAGAACTGTGACATTTATTTATCAACATTACATCGAGGCAAATATGTTCTTTGTTGATTGAGTAATAAGTTTTGTGTTGATCTGATTCCCATCCATTATTCATGGATGTTATTCCCATGCTTTATCTTTCTGTGCAACTAACTACAGCAGGTATTGATAACTTCGAAGGTTTAGTCGAACGCGCCAAATTTCAAAGCATTATATACCACGGTCATAATATATTGTTAAATTTGTAATTCATTTTCCGAGAATCCATACCTACTTCAGGAAAGCTTTCGGCTTTTCTGTTATATTCTAAAATTCAGAATCATACCGACAGTGAGCTTGCATAAGGGCGAATCCGCGATGATCGATTCTCTTCATCGATTTTCTCTTTGCATTGCTACAGCTAAGCGAAACAATTTTCTAGAATTTGTTCAATGCAGAGTAGTAACAGTTTGTATTGGCTATAAAAAGCAACAGCAAACGCACCGAGAAACGTTAAATCTAGCGAGTTATTAACAAAAGAGAAAATCGACGAAGAGAATCGATCATCGCGTATAGGCCCTTATGCATGCTCACTGTCGAATACGGCCTCACTGCGATGATCGATTCTCTTCATCGGTTTACTCTTTAACACTTGGAAAAAGGTGAAATTTGATAACATTTTTGTTGGCATTTGTTGGCAACTTTTACCGAACTTGGTCACAACTTTCAAATCATATTTTCCAATCCTGTTTGAAGTTTATTTGTTTAATTTGGTCCTACATCAACATACTGGGTTTAGTCATAATGATGGATTTAGCAATTCTAGGAAATACAATATAGTCAAGAAGTAACACGCTACAAAGGCCGTGAAGTCCAGCTTCATTCCTAATTCTTAAAAATATATAACGGAATCTCTGACGCAGCGTCTCGCGTGCCAAGTAGAATGTCTGCCACAAACAGGGCCCTTGTCGTATCTCTTCGACTTCACAAAGGATCCAGGTGAATTAACTGGCCCCGACTATCGTAGCTTGGAAGGCGATGAGGATCCCTCGAAGGCAATCGTCGAAGGGCAAACCAGATGACTCGTCGTTGAATAGACTCTACTCTTTGTACACTGTTTTGGTAATTGGGATTCCATACAGGGCAGCAGTATTCTAACACCGACCGGACGAGGGAGCAGTAAAGCGACTTCAAACAGTAGATGTCCGTGAAACTTTTAGCTATCCTGAAAATGAAGCCGAGCGTTCTGGATGCCTTGTCGATCACGTACGAGATATGCTGACTACCAGATTCTTAATGTGATTCACACGATGTACATCAACGCCTTCTAGGATATAACTGAATGTAATTGGATATTTCTTCCGTGAGAACGTGATTACTGAACATTTTGTTGGATTTACAACCATGCCGGTCAGTTGGCACCAATTTGCAAAAGCGTTGAGTTGGAGTTGGAGAAGGTGGCAGTGAGCGATTTTCATGTCTGCGAACGACAGTCGTGGACCGTCAAGGACGAAATTGACGTCGTTGAAATACACAAGAAATGTCAACGGGCCGAGATGGCTACCTTGCGGAATACCCGAAGTGGCAGGGAACGAAGGAGATCGGCAGTCATCGGTTGCAACTTCCAACTGACGATCAGATAGATAGGATGCGAACCATCGTAGGAGATGCCCCGTAACGTACGGGATGTAAGATCTACCACCGATTCCTTATCCTGACTACTTCAAACTAGGGGAACAGGATTTTTCAGTAATCCAAGGAACACATCTTAGTCCTTGTTACTTTTTATGCCTGGACCGAGGATGATCTTGAAACAAGGAAAAAATGAGTTAGTTAGTCTTCATCTATGTGATTCCTAATCTTCTATTCGTTGTTCCCTAGTTTGAAGTGGGTAAGACTAGGGTTCTGATGCATGGTCATTATCGGTGTCATACCTTAATGTTGTTGCTAAGGAATCCAATTTTGACTGACAAAGGGGCGCGCCTTTGGAGGGTGCTTCAACACTCCGAAGGGTATAAATAGCGGGACCTTTCAATTAGAGTTGGATCCTTGCGATAAATGCAAGAGTGGCAACTGTAAAAAAATCGAATACTTCATCATTTCTCAATAGTGATGAAGTAATACGACATGCACTAAACTACGACATGCACTAAACTAAGGACAAACTACAATAGATCAAATTACTGGTCGCAGTAGTGTTAGGTCCCGAACAGAGGAAAAAATCGTAGGAGATTGCCGCTTATACCGAGCCTATCCAGTTTGGCGATCGCTATAGGATGGTTCAACTTGTCGAAGGCGGCTGATAGGTCAGTGTAGATGACATCTGTTTGCCAAGCTGGAGATACTTGGCGTCTCGTCAACGGCTGTGGATTGGTTCAGATCTTACTTGGTGAATCGCTATGTACAACTCGGGAGTTCCGCACACACTTAATCTAGCTCGGTAAAATCTCCAACAGCCGATTACCTCGGCATTTACTTTTGCTGATATCTCTGCAAAATATATGCGTGTTAGCTGAAATCTCAGCAAAATTTTATTTGTTAGCTGAGTCTCGGCAATTGTTTTACCGAATCTCAGTAAAATAAATTGCAGAACTACTCGGCTGTTGGAATCTCGGCGAAAAAATTTAAGTGTGCAAGGCAGTAACCTAGGACCGCTACTGTTTTCGATCTTATTAAACGATGTCGCGTTTTCTTTGCAGTCGATACGAAAATCTACAAAATTATTAAAAGTCTCTCGGACTGTTGGAATCTCCAGAATATGTTAGGTATTTTTGTTGACTGGTGCTCAAGAAATTTGATGAATCTAAATGTTACATTATTTCCTATCACCGAAAAATGAACCAATCATGTTTGGCCATGTTCTCTACGGACGCTGTCTTGCTCGTGAAGAACACATAAAGGATCTCGGCGTTACCTTGGACTGCAGACTCACTTTCAGAATCCACTACATCTCCAGAGCTAATCAACAATTGGGCTTTATTTTCAAAATTGCCGACGAGTTCCGTGACCCGCTATGTCTCAGGTCACTCTACTGCTCGCTTGTGCGATCCTTATTGGAGTCAAGTTTAGTTGTTTGGTGCCCTTTTCATGCTAGCTGGATCACTAGAATTGAATCCGTTCAACGCAAGTATGTAAGATATGCTCTTCGTTTCCTCAACTGGCGTTACCCAACGAACTTGCCAGAAGGTTGGAAGTAGTCGACCGCCCTGCCATTAAAACCACGCAGGTCTTCGCTCAAGTGCTGCTTGAAGTGAGAGACTAATGGTTCCATAACGACCAATTCGAACAGTTTAGATATGGCACACAACGATGTGATGCCGCGATAGTTGTCGATGTTTCTTGTGCATCCCTTCTTATGCACTGGAAACATCTCAGCTGATTTCCAGCAGGAAGGAAACACCCCACTGGAGAGGGACATTTCGAACAGAAGGCAGAGATGAGCCACCAGGCTATCGATGTGTAGCTTGAGAAAGACGGAAGGAACTCCGTCAGGTCCAGGCTTAAATGAAGACTTCAGTTGCGAAGCCGCCTTAGGTATCATAGCGAGGTCGATGTTGATAGCTGCCAGATTGACCAGACATTGGAACATTACTGGCTGCTAGAGAAACGTGCTCGACAGGTAGGTTCTCATCCGAGAATACACTCGCAAACTTGGTTGAGAACAGACGGTAAATGTCCTGAGGGGATGAAGCTTCTTCGCCGTTCAGTACCATAGTCGATGGAAGGCCAGACTCCTTTTGTTGCTCATTCACAAAATTCCAAAAAGTTTTCGAGTTAGATCGAAGCCTCGATCGAAGCTTCCGTTGAACATCTCGTTGATAACGCCGATAACATTGGCGACTGGTTCGTTGATACGCATGATTGATCCTCGCATAATGGTCCTTGAGTTGTAGGGTGTGAAACTTGGGGTATTTTCTTAGCGCGGCTCTTTTGGAAGACTTTAACATACGGAGTTCACTTGTTTGCCAAGGATGATGATTGCCTTGTTTAGGAACTTTTTTTCGGAACGTGTCGCTCAATGACGTAAGCCAAAATATGCGAGAGCGTTTGGGCAGCTGCATTGACATCAGTGCCAGTCCAAATTCGAAAGAAGTTCCCCGATTCTGTCGTGGTAAGCATTTCGGAAATCGTAGGAGATCTCTACTAGGGGGCGGAATGACCTCAGGAATTTGGTTGCCTTCAAGTGCAATAACTAAAGGAGGATGGTGTGGAACAGTCTTTATCAACGGAGAAACAGCCATAGACAAATGCGGAGCAGTATCCTGAGCGGTGACGAAGCAAAGGTCTAAGCTACGATTGTTCTCACTAACCACGTGGTTGATTTGCTTCAGAGTGGCGATACTGTAATGATCCAAAAGGCTTACAGCTCCAGAGTGAAATGTAGAACGGTCGTGGTCCGGATACAGGAATCCACCGTAAGATGATCGCCAAGAAATTGCCGGTAGATTGAAGTCGCCAATGATTATCATCTCGTCAGCAGCTGTAGCGATCTCCATTATAGCTCGAATAGACTGACTGTGGGATTCAATCAGCGTAGAGGCGTAGAGGCGCGAGTTCGATCCGGAGGAAAGTAAACTACACACAAAAACAAAGTGCGGTCAGCGAGCTTAATGGCAATGCAAACTTGTTCCACACAACTCCATAAATCGTTTTCGATAACTTTTGCCTACAGTCCAGAGCCGACCGCTATGAGAACGCCTTCACCAGTAGATTTGCGGCTGTTGTGCGGATTCCGATCGCATCGAAAAACCTCGTATTGGGAACCAAACACTTGATTTGACAATGTGCGACAATGTGCCAAGTCTCAGTGAAAGCGATGACGTCGGTTGATGCATATATTATGTCACGCTTTAAGGGGGAGGGGGGTCTAAGATTTTGTGGCAAGCAATGTATCAGGTTTACGAAAACGTAACGATAGGGGGGAGAAGAAGTATTTTTTTCCTAAATTAATGCAACCTCACTTAGTTCTTAAATGCTGACAGCACGCAAACCGGTTTCGCGAAGAAATCTCACTCATGATTCGAACCTTCTAGCTCCTCACATCGGCCATCTCTACTCGGCAGTCATCACCGATACCATCCATCGATTCAACAGTCTCCTGAACCCTGGCGTTCAGTCGATTTTCTGCACCGGCACCGATGAACATGGAACAAAGATCCAGCAAGCTGCCGCCAGCCATTCCGTTCCCGTAGCCACGTACTGCCAGCAAATATCCGATCAGTATCGTAATCTGTTCGAGAATTTCAATATCTCCCACACCCGGTACATCCGAACGACCGATCAGGATCACTCGTATGCAGTTCAAAGCTTCTGGAAAGCATTGGATCGAAGTGGCAGCATCTATTCGGCTCAGTACTCCGGCTGGTACTGCGTCCCAGACGAGACATTCCTAACCGATAGTCAACTGAAAGAGAATGATCAGGGCGTTAAGGTTTCGGTCGAATCCGGACATCCGGTCGAATGGACGGAGGAAACGAATTTCATGTTCCGATTGGATCGACATCAGGACGATGTACTGTACTGGATCAAAGGTTGCGAAGATCGTATAGTGCCGATCAAGTTCCGAAAGATTCTGCTGGACTTTTTACAGGAACGGCTTCCAGATATTTCTATTTCGCGACCTAAATCTAGAGTTTCGTGGGGGATTGACGTTCCCTCCGATCCCTCTCATACAGTGTACGTGTGGTTAGATGCCTTGGTGAACTACCTAACGGTGAGTGGTTATCCTCAGCCGGAATTCGCGCGGCGATGGCCACCAACGGTTCAGGTTCTTGGGAAGGATATTCTCAAATTTCATGGAATCTACTGGCCAGCATTTTTGATTGCAGCAGGGCTGGAGCCTCCACGGCAGCTGCTGGTGCATTCCCATTGGACGGTGGATAGTCAAAAAATGTCCAAAAGTAAGGGAAACGTAGTGGATCCCAATGAACGGGCAACGTTGTATACACATGAGGGAATCCGCTACTTTCTACTGAGGGAAGGTGTGGCTCATAGCGATGGAAGTGAGTTACGCTTTTAATCTTGAATCAGATGAAATTTTGAAACGAACCTTCTTGTAGACTATAGTGACACGAAGATTATGCGCATTCTCAACGCGGAGCTGGCGGATACGTTCGGTAATCTACTTTCAAGGTGCTGCGGGAAGGTCCTCAATCCGGAAGCGGTAATTCCAGTTGTTCACCAGGATTTGTTTGACACGTTAAACAAGCTTGACGTCACGAAAAAGATGCTGGAACTGCTGAACGATCTTCCAGGTTGGTTAAGGTTGCACAACGTTCAGATTTACTAATTGATCTTGACGGTTTTATTTTCAGCAAAATGCCTCTTCCACTATCAACAGTACAATTTCTATCTGGTAGTGGACAGCGTGATGCAGGTTCTACACGCGTCGAATAACTTTTTCGAAACGACTGCTCCCTGGAAGCTGAAGAAGCCGGAGGAGAAGGCTCAGCTGCAAACCATTCTCGGCATGACAATGGAAGTTTTGCGCCATGTTGGCATCATTCTGCAGCCGATCGTTCCCACCATGAGCGGTAGATTGTTGGATAAGTTGAACGTTGAACGGAGTCGTAGGTCGTGGACGGATTTGAGATTGGATTTTGCAAAAGTGGAGCGACCTCTAGCGGATACGGATGCGGTGCTGTTTAGGAGAATAATTCCGCCGAAAGAGGAACCAGTGGTCCAAGAGCCGAAAGCGAAAAAAGTGAAAAGGAAGAATTGAATGTGGAGGAGACTTGAATAGAGATGAACTACTGCACGGTGTGTAATCAAACGATTCCTTGAAGTTGAGAAAATATCCTGGTTTTCTTCCAAATCAAATGAACTTTTAAATGCACGAGCATGTCGTTCCTATAGTTTTATTAAGTACACTGATGCTATTGTACAACTATAAAGTTTTATTAGTTTTTGCAGCCTTATGAAGCTGTTTGCATGTGTATAATATTTGTTCATGTTCAGATCTTAGGACATCAATATTGATATATGGTAAACAGTTCCACAACTTCGCTGCCTTCCGGGTGCAGTGACTGCGCGCTGTAGCAAAATAAATTCTCTCTTATTAGACAAAACGCCTAAGCTACCCTTAAATTCACGAAAAAAAAAATCACTAAGCACTAATCAATAGTTTCGATTCTTGGCCACCAGGTGCACAATATCGCCCATAAATGCAATCGCTTTCCTTCTCCCGTTTGTAAAACATCGTTCTATAAAAACTGAAATCAGATCCTAAAGCAACCACAAAATGCTCAACTGCTTTAGTTGGAGACATTCTTCTCGTCGACGATGCTGGTCTGCATATCCGACATCTCCCTATCGTTCTTCCGATCGTGGTGACAATCGACGAATGCTGCGTTGAACATAATCTGACATCCACGTTCGATCCATTCCATAAGGACGTTCCTCGATCGGCTATTTTTGTTCTTATTCCATACTACACATACGTAGTACACGGGAACTCCGGACAGGGTGATACAGACACCGATGATGAGATTCATGGGTTCCGAGAAGGATGGTACCAGGACCAGGACCAGGCAGCACGTTAGGAAGGTGATTGGAAGAGCTAGGTTTACTCGAATCGGTCGTGGCATATTGGGTCTGTGGAAGAAACGATCATTAGAAATTGTCGACGTGGACGATCAGCTAGGACTTACTTGGTCACACGTAGCCACAGAAGGCCAGCTATGCAGGCTGCAACCGAGAGCCACAAAATCTGGCTGAAGTAGTTGATCAAGGCAACTACATTGGGAGTCATAAGCATGAGAATCGACGTTATACACTGGAAAAAAAAACACTCATTTAAAACATTCCTCTGATTTTGAACGTTTTAAGCGAAACTTACCGTAAAGATCAAAGCCGGAATGGGCGTCTGTCGATTGACATGCACCAACGAAAACCAAGCCGGTAGGTGGCCTTCTTGAGCGCCGGTCGAAAATAGCCGAGCCGAAGTGAACAGAATACCGTTGACTCCACCGAAGCAGCTCAAGGCAACGAAGATCGGAATCAACCAAGCGACCGGGCCAAACACCTGATTACCGAAATTGACTGCAACCGCGATCGAAGCAAGCATGTCGTTTCGGGGAACGACGGCAAAGTAGGCCAGGTTGACGAGCACGTAGATACCGGTCACCATGGGCATAGCAATCCAGATGGCACGGGGAAGGTTCCTGGGAATAACACGAGTTCATTATTCGATAGGTAATGATGCCCAAAATCTACCCTCAACACTCACTTGTAGGGATTCTCCAGCTCCTCGGTGACAAAGTTCAGATAGTTCCAACCGCCAAAGGCAAACAGTCCGGAGTAAAAGGCATACGCCAGGCTGGATATTGCGTAGTCACCTTCCCAGGCGTTTTCGAAGTTGTCCGATTTCTCCGTTGCCATGAACCAAACTCCGGCCAGAATGATGGACACCAGAGCCGTCAGCTTGGCCATCGTAAACACATTCTGGATCTTCATGGCCCACTTGGTCGAGATGCAGTTGATCGCCGTCAGGAAGCACAGACATACGGCCGCCAGGAGGCGCACCGAATTGTCTGGGGCTTCACAGTCCGGGAAGAACGGTTTCACGGCATACTGGGCAAACGTTAGCGCTACGATGGCCTGCAAAATAAGACGAAATGGATTGGAATCATCAATTAACCGCGGAGTTTGGCGATTATTAATAGGGTCAATCGAGAACGGCCATCGCGGATGGTCCTTCAAGCGAGTAAATTAGTAAATTGTTGTTAATTAAAGCCAACTCGATTGGTGGCATTGCTGACTGGTGTCGGTGTGAATGGGAATGTGTAAATCTATGTATATCTATAGGTATGGCTAGCGAATGGGTGACATTGTTCCGCGACTAGAAGTTGTAGGAATGTGCAGTTAGGTTCAGGAGATCGTCGTTCTTGTTAGAGAATAATAATTTGTTTACTTTTACAAGCGGGGTTGGCAGCTGCCTAGAGAAGTATATAGTTAGTGAAACTCGTCTGTCTTCATTTTCTCTCAAACCTGTCTGCGGTTAATTTGTTTTATTCCCCCACGTTGCATGCATAATATAATAAGTTCGAATTTAATTTCAATAACAAATTCATTCAGCAAAGGCCATTATCACAGCACAACCGCACAACGAAATAGATATGATTTATAGACACTGAATGAAAACCCTTTTTTTACCTAGTTGCAAATTTCTTACTCGTTTTGAGGAATTTTCTAAGAGCGTAATGCTGAACCAATAAATAATAAGGCAATGATGTTGATTTAAATCACGGCAACCCATACAATGTTTTCTATTTCGACCTAGCATCTCGGGGTAGCCAGAACTATTAAACGTGTTTCGTATTCGAACCTCTCAGTCAACAAACTTGCATTATTCATACAGGAACCGGCATCTAATGCAAATGTATATCACATCTCGTCTATCAAACGCCCATGTGTTCAAATCGCTCCAGCAACTCGAATTCTCCTGTTTCTACTTTTCAAATAAACTGTTAATGGCTCTTGCTGTTGTTGCTGTTTGCAAATTTCTGTTTTAAATCATCAATGCGAGACGAAGTAATGGAAATAATATAACAGCGTTAAACGCGTCAAACAATGCTGCTGCATTTCTAAACCGAGTAATAACTAGGGGACAGTAGCTATACACTTTATATGCGAGCAGTTAAAGACTGTACTCGAAAAAAGTGAGACACATTGATTAGTTTGTAACATTTTTGCGAATTGATGAAATTTTGACTGAAACTAGCTAAGAGTGTAATGTTTACGCTGGCAGAATTTCATCACAATCTGTCAAGTGGTTATTGACATGGCATCCGCTAAAAAATCTTGTGCGCTGTCGTGTAAAATCCGACTGCGTTCCACAGATAGATCGGGAAACACCTGGTAATCCATCATTCAACGATTTCTTCGGTGGTGAAGTCATTCAAGGAGACCCCACAAAGCAGTTGCTGGGGCAGGAGTCTTACGTTACCACATCACGGTTGGCCGTAAAGTAAGGAAGAAGCAAGTGGACTGATTCGCCAAAAAGTTCTTGATTTGGCAGGCCATCTGTGGCCGGATTTGGCAAAACAACAATGTTGTTTTTGTACTAAAATACGTCAACCCATCGAACTCTCCGGAACTTCACCCGATTGAGAAGTTTTCGGCCAACATGAAGGCCAGACTTCTTAAAACACCTAAGGTGTTGGAGAACGAGCTGGCTTTGAAGAAATAGTGAGTAAAAGTATCAAAAGAAGTCGACCCCACCATTGCCCAAAACCTTATAAATAGTGTCAAGGGCAAGGTGCGGGCATGCGGCTATGCAATAAAGTAGAAACCTAACCATATTGTTGTAGTTTATTCCCTGAAAGCTTGAAGCAAATCCGACTTAAAATGAATTTTAGTGCGACCATTTTTGTGTGTCTCACTTTTTTCGAGTACAGTCTTTAATTTGCCGGAAACTGGTGGGTGTGTCCACCACTAGCAACCGGTCAACCAACCAACAGCGAGCAACAGTCCAATAATGTAGACACAGATTCTGCCGTTGATTACAGTCTGATTCAAATGCTACAGAACCTTGGAGCGGTGCGGTTCGCTTTTTCTTTAAGTTGGTACTCCCTAGCGTGACATTGGGAAACTATTTCCATGGGCACCATATTAGCCGAACGGAACCATTCCAGTACGGGCGCAATCATCGGTTTTATTTGCGATGTTTTTCCTCTGTGAGTCTTTTATGCTCGCTTTTCTATTCACGCCGCTTGTTATACTCAGCGTATACTGTTTACCCTCAGTGGAGATTGATTGATTGCCAACAGGGAAAACAGGGAGCGCCCGATGGCGGCTTTGGTATATGTATACACTCGTACATACAGTATTGTACGAATCTTTTGCAGCAGGTCATCATGAGCAACAGTGGCAACTATAATCGCCTCATCAATGCCACGATACACAAGGAATTATTCTGGTTCACGTACCAGTTCGTGTTAAGAATCTGCAAAACTTTCTCCTAGTGGTGCTTAGAACATAGCCCGAAAGTCCTCTGAACTTTTCAGCTACAATATTTGAAGCCAATCAGTTTTTCCGAGGGAATCACAAACAGGCGATCTTCTAGAGTAGACTAAGGATTATGCTGTGGAATTGTAAGGGTTGTTTACATGATGTAGTAAAAATTCAGTGAATTGCGTCTGACATTTAAAGCAGTCCTGTAACGGTAAATTTAGAGGAGGTTACGCACTCAAAAAATGTTAAAATGCGTGAACGATGACCCAGAACGAAGTGTTACGTCTGCTTGTCTGTGTTACAAATATCGTCACGGAACTCACTAATGACATCTCGCGAGCTATTCACGAAAAAAGATTGGCAAATTTTCCCCCAAATAACGTTGCATACAAGTTCAATCGAATGTATAGAAACGTCAAAGTGATCCGATTCCAGCGCTGTGGTGGGGGATTCGCGAATCTAATAATATTTAAATTAAACGTTAAATACGTGTACGACCATTGAGGAGAAACAGATACGTTTCTTTGTCTGGGCAGTAGCCGTCATAAGTATGGACTCGCATAGAAAAGTATTGCAACACTCAGTTGAATGTTGCATCACACCCCACAAAGTTTAGCAACACATTAAAAATGTTGAAAAACCTAAAAAAAAAACTTGCTGAATACGCTTCGGGAAGATATAATTTGCGTCTGTGGAACTTAAGAAAATACTGATCACACTTAGGAAATGATCGGAATCACTTAAGAAAAGTTCTAAATTACTTCGGAAAGTACTAGACCACTTTAGAGATATTCGGAGTTACTTCGGAAATACTGAATAACTTTGGAAATGTTCTGAATCACTTCATACAAAATCGAATTCACTTCTAAAATAACTGAATCATCACAGATATGTTCGGTATCGCTTACAAAGTTTGAAAAAGTAGTGTACATTTCTGTTACTATGATGCTCATAAATGGAGCAGCTTATATCATACAAATTTACATTATAGATCGTGTAAAGCTATGAGACATTTCATGAAATATTCCGAATCTCTATGAACATTTCAAAAGGTCCAATCTGCTTTGATCGATTCTCGATGCAATCAGATTTCACGCTATTTTTGCCAAATGGTTTGATAAAGGAGGTTCTTATCTAGCGTCCAAAACTTCAAATACAACCGGGATAGGTTTTGCAGCTGAGTTATCAACGAAAGAGAAAGTCAACGAAGAGAATCCATCCATGCAGATACACAGCAAAAAAAGTTGTTGAATATTACATCGAAACTGCTGCAACCAGGTCAATCCATCGGCTGTGTAATATCACATTGTACGATGTACATCGATTTTGCGAACAAAATTACATTCATTGATGTAATATTGTATTTGCTCTTTGCTATTGGAAGATTGCCGTAAAAGCTCAACGCAGATGTCGCCACTGCATGATGATGATAATGTTGACAGACTGCATATAAAATTCGTGAAAATTAGCGTTAAATCATAATTTTCATCAAACCTGTGTAAAATCCTTCCAATATAACATTCGAATTGAAGAAGAAAACGTGTTTACGATCAGACTGATGTGCATCTTTGACTTTTCCAGTTGAACTTTCATAAGATATATTCATTTCATTTCGCGGCTCCATCAATGCTGCATCGTAAATATGATGTAAACAGAAGTAAATTGCTCAATCACTCGAAATAAAGATGATTTGTCATCTTGTTATCACTTTGAAGACCATCTAGCACCATTTTATAGTATGGTGCGTGTTGAGTAAAGCAAGTTCCGTCGAAAATTGTGAGCTATTGTGAGTATCAATATGTTTGCTTAGAAAAGGCCAAAAGGAATTTATTGAATTTATTGAATATTGGCGTCCTATACAACCGATTCTCCATTACCACCAGCATGATACAACCTTTCCTAAGTAAATTAACTTAATTTCCACTTTCAGCTTAGTGGAAATCGCACATATTCACCATTTTCCGAAAAATGCAGCTGCGCAGGAGGTAACCTCTCGCTGTGGGTGCAAACTTTTATGCATTATTTTCAATGGAAACCTCTCCGATCCATACCGAAATAATAACAATTAGTTTTCAAACACGTTTTCTTACACGATTCAAGCAAAAGTTTCCACGGGAAATTATTAGTTTTTCTTTATGGACCGATTTGCCCCAAAAATCGTCTGTTTTACTTGAAAAATTTGGAAACTATCCTCCTTCTAGTAGTTCTCACTTCGAAATGTATGAGGCGAAAGCTTGGAAAAGTTTCACTGCAAGACGCCAATTACATCTTTATTCCATACATCAGCTTGAATTACGTTGATCGATATTACATTTTTTTTGCTGTGTAGGACGTTTTGAAATGTTTATCTAGAAATATTGTATGCAATCGTCAATTTTTGCAAGAAATATTTTTTGCAAGTTGCCGGTTTACGTGAAAAGAAAGTTTACACCTGAGTACTGCGAACTCAGCCGATTTTATTTTTCAAGTGAGCTAGAAAACATCTTGAAAATCTTCCGAAGTTTCAAATTGTTTTGCTGAAACAGCTCACGAAATTGTATATACATGCTGTCAAATGAACTCTTGGCTCCTCCTCCTCTGCTCCAGAAATAACATATACATGGTGATGGGAGTGCACCTGCGCACAAAGCTTACATGACTCTTAT